GTGAGGAGAGAAGCTAGTGAATATGGCAAATGTGTGATAAAATAGGTACAATTGGGTAAGAACGGTGATCCATTGGATCCATTAGGAACCAAAAATACGACTTAGATTTAACCAAGTAGACCACTCATATAAGCCGAGAGGAGATTAAGAGAACAGGAAAATGTATATTCTTTGTGATTTTGTATTATATATAACCGATTCTCTTGTAGGCGAATAGAACCAGACATAGTTGCAGACGATATCTAAATAAAGAAATGAATTTTTTTTATCACTACAGTCCAGAATAAATCAATCAGATAGAATTACATCAACGCATGGTTTGACAAAATACTGACAAAACAACAGATGTCGCTTTTGTGGAGAAAGAGATGAGACTGTTAACCGTATAAAAAGTTAATACAACGAGGTGATTCAAAATGAAAAAAAAAAAAAAAAGGCACAAGAGATTATGGACAGTTATACTCATGTGAATTGTACTTGGATTCGGTCATGTAGGCAAATCTCTATCTATAAAAGGCAGGATGTATGTGTGTGTAACGAATGCACGGCTGCAATTTTCGACGGATTTGCACCAAAATTTACATGCTCATGCTCCAAGTTAGTGGGAAGGCCAAGACCGACTTTGCATTAAACCAACTCTCATCGATAGTGGAAATAATCGATTTTTTCATGCTTCTACGGTAGTTTTCATGTAGTTTGCGGCCATTTTCTACTGGCCAGAGTGAGAGCTAATAGCTGACTGCCACGAATAGGCAGGAAGATTCTATTGGCCAGTGTGAGAGCCAACAGCTGACACGAATGTTAACTAGCACAAATCGATAGGTGCATTCGTCACAAGTGGGAAAAATTTAAGTCTGCATGGCACTTTACTCTAATTGGCTCATTCGCTTGCTTAAACTCAACGTTGATTCTGATTCCGCAGAACTGGATTCGGTGTGAAAAAGTATTTGTTGTTAACATTCTTTTTCATTCGTTTTTTCCAGTTACGAGTCCTTTTTTAAAGCTGATCGTTTTGTGTTCATTTTGTTTAGTTCTTTTTTCGTAACAGATTTCATGTTTAATATAAAGCTTAGAAAAAATTCGCAGTGTGAGATAGGCAAGAATGAAGGCATATAGCAACATCAGCACAGCAAAGGGCACTCCTTTAAAGGCAAGGAAGGGCAAAAATATTTTAAGTCAAGTGACAGAGATTGCTGTATGAGTCGTACGATTTTTGAATCAAGCACGAGCAACGCCGGGCCATGCTGCTAGTACAATATAAAACAAGTATCGCAGAACAGGAAAGGTCATACACTTTGATCAGTACAACTGAGTTGACTTCGGTAATGTAGACACAAAGAATATAAAAACAGGTATGACAGGGCTGGAATGGTCATTCCCCATGAATTGTGCAACTGATTTGGCTTCGGTAATATAAACAAATAGTAACTAGCATGAAACGGCTGGAACAATCGCACAGTGGGAATCTTGCAATATAAATTAAATTCAAATATCTGAGCGACGTTCGGGTCGAGGTAAATGATTTCAAAGGCTGACAGACAGATTATATTTATTTGAATGCTAAGTTCAATATCATTCTCCTACTCTGTATTTCCACCCATCCATATGACCTTGTGCCATACTTAGGTAAGTTTATTAGATATATTTCAATAATCATCCTCTTGATTAATAAAAGGCTAGTGGTCAGTATCTGAAGCTAGAAAAAGGCAAACATTTCAAATGCTGATTTTCAATTTTGGTCTCAGTTTTTGGGACGAGGAGTTACACTATATTCGGACTATGGTCCTCATCTTTGTTGTTGTTATCACAACGTTTCGGTCATTGTTCCCTTCGGCCTTCCTCAGGTGTATATCGATTTGGATAACCGACAGGATATAGTCTGTCCCACGGTACAATGGCCTAGTAGATAAAAGCGTTGGTTTGTGAATTTGGTGACATATTAGTTACGAGTTCAATTCCTGGGTCAGGCAGTAATAATTGAACGGTACTAAATAAAATAAAAACTAGACGATATCCCTAGACATGAGCAGTGGAACGAAAAATGTTTTCCTCATATAAATGAATATATAAATTAAATGAAACAAATTAAAAAAATTTCAAATGAATTAGGAAATATAATTTATTGTGAGATTCTAATAATTATTTATCATTATTTATACTGGGTGGCCCCAAAGAAATTAACATGTCAATTCTCGCTCAAATTTTAACAAAATGTGTAAAAAGTAAGCTGACTGTGAGGAATTATCTAACAAGATGAATCGGCCGTGCCAGTGATAATGACAATGTGCTGCTGAAATGGCCACCTGACTTGACACCTTGTGATTTCTTTCTATGGGGTTATGTGAAAGGACAACTCTATATCCCCACTCTTCCTATAAGGCTAGCAGAGAATCACTGAGGCGCTGGAAAATGTTACGTAAAGCATGCTACAGCGTGTTTGGCAGGAACTGGACTACCGACTTGACGTGTGTCACGTCACAGGTAGTGTGCATATTAAACATTTGTAAAGCTTTGTAAAATCGTTCTAAAATTTACACCCCTTTGAATCTCTTGTTCTAATTTTAATCAATTTTTTATTGTTTAACACAAAGCCTCTTTAATTTAGTTTGCCTGGGACATGTAGTTTCTCAGATATTCACATTTTAAATGAGGTCAATTTTTTTGACACCTGTATTATAAGATCTAACGTCCGGTTCACACTTCTCCCCGATCTTTTGAGCAGGAGTAGAATTCTTGTTTAATGTTTAGGATTGCTTTTCCGGTTACTTGTAAAGTATTTTCATTCACTTTCACACACAGCAGCCCCTTGTGTCTTAGTGTCATTGTTACCTTGCTTGGGGGAATTAATTAAGAAAGAAGAAAACATCGAAAAATTTTATTTAAATAATTTCTGAATTATTTGGCTTTAAAAATGAAGTAATGCAGTCTGTGTTTTCAAAATTTTACACAAAAATAATAAATAGAATTTCAAAGCCCACATATTTTCCTTGGGGCAACTCCAGGCCCATTTTAAACATTTCTCAGAGCCTCTTGTGGGCTTAAGGTTGGGAATCGCTGTTCAAAAGATCAAGAAGTCAATGCAGGTATCCCCCAAGGCTCTCTCCTCAGTCCGAATCTCTTTCTGCTTTTTTATTAACGATCTGCCGAAGAACATTCTCAGATCACTCGTAAATTAATACAGATGATACCACAGGTTATAGAAAAATATATAAATATATTTCAGTTATTTTTTATTGGCATCTGAGTTTTTATTTTCTTCATTTTTCGTCTCATTTATTTATTTACTTGTATTAATCGCTTTCACTATTTCCACTGTTCACGGCCATATCCATAATCTGACAGGTTCTCTTTACCCTGTTTACGAATAACAGATCCTGTCTTGGATGGTGTGGAGTGTCCAAATCTCAAACTCCTGAGTATTATTTTATTGTTAACATTATTAAGATGATTGTTTATTTTAATCCAATTAAAACATGAGTCTTCGCCAATCAAAATGCCGCCAATCTTTACTCTTCTGTTTGTTTCATTTCGTTGTCATATTTTTCCCGCCTTGAGGACGCCTTCCTCAAAAGCGCCATTATGTCAGCCATTTTTTTTTTGTTCTTTTCATATTCATTTCCACTCTTTTTTTCTTTCTGATTCTTGTCAGAGACAATTAGCTTTATTTTTTTTTTAAATCTCTTCAATGAAAGCGCTATCCTGCTAACACCTGTGCCCCTCTTCAGTTTAACATTCGTTAATTCGTGAGGCAATGAATCGATGGCAAAAATCAATGCCACTCTTTCCAGCTTTGCAAGAGAGATTCAAGTCTTCTTTTGATGGCGAATCATAACGAAATCTTTCATATTTAAAGGATATCAAAATGGAGAAGCATTAAAACATATTAAATCGACCACCAGAAAGCAAATGACTTCCCAATTATATCACAAATAAAGGTATTGCCAACAGATATCAACTAATAATCACTTGTTTCTGGTTATATTAAATATGGCCAAAATTAGAGTTTTTTTTACCAAAAATAACTAATTCATTTGTTTTTACATTTACACATATCACTTACCACGGATGTATGCTCTATGTAATGTCAGTTAAGACATGTATCATCAGATGGTCTCCGTAACATACTTAGGTGGGTTTGGCAACTTGTTGTGTATCTTTCCTGGTCATTCAGATTGTAATATGTTCAGCTACGTGAATTGACCCCCAAAAAGAATTCAACCAATACAAGACTTGAGAGTAGCTCGAGAAAGAGGTAATTCAGAAAATAATCCTACTTTACCGTCATAAAATTTTCCCCAAATAAATATGTAATTAAAATAATTAAATGTTAGAATAAAAATATAAATGAAAATACGTCCGTGCAGATATATAAAAACATTCTTAACCCCACCAGAAAGACTTCAAGTCTAAAACCTGCCACGACACGCACATTGTAGCGAACCAGCTTCATTCCCTTCACATTCCATTGGTGGGATGTAAGCTCTACTCGAGTAGCTTCTTCCCACGAACCGCTGCCTTCTGGAATCAACTTCCAGGTGGATGCTTCCCCGATCACTACACTCTTAACCTATTCAAGTCTAGGGTTAACCGTTATCTTTCACTCATATCCGCATAAACTGTGCCTCTTGCACTGTAACCCTCTATCTCTAGTGGCTCTTGGGCCTTATGCAGGGTAAAAATTACAGTAAAAATACATTTCTAGTCTAATCTAACTCTTTTTGGTTGACTGGTTTGTTTTTTAAGGCTTAACAACTCTTTATATGTTATTTAAAGTCGGCATTTTTTTAATATTTTAAGAATTTTATTCTTGGGGTGATGATAATAGTTCAGTGATACGAATCTTACTAATTAATCCATAGCTGGGGGAGAAGATGTGGATTCATACCTTTATCAAGGCTACGTGCGCGTAAGTGAATATAACGAACCCAATGAGAATTTGAACTCTGTTCTCCGATTTATAATCTCGAGCCAGTATCCATTACACCAACCATACGTCCGAGCTTACAGCACCCGGTATTCCCAAACGGTCACCCATCTAGGTACTGACCAGGCTCGACGTTGCTTAACCTCGGTAATCGTACGGGAACTGGTGTTTCAACGTGATCTGGCCGTAAGAATGATAGTGAGTGTGAGTGAGAGAAAATGAGCGATTTTATTGACCCGGCTGTGATTAAATGGGTTTCTGAATGTGGTTATGCTTGCTTATCTCAAGCTAGGCTGAAAGGTCGTATTCGGAGTCAAGTGCAGAGACATCACACTGAATTTAATAGTTTGAATAACCTATGCAATGATAATGAATCTTCTCACCATTATAAAGATCTTTCACTTTTTCCTATGTTATCTAACAACAAATGGAACAAAAAACAAAGACTTCAACAGTGTGAAAAATTCTTGGAATAAATTTATTTTTATTATTTGTGTGCAAAATGGATGTTTGCCAGCAAGTCTAGGATGAGAGCACCTAATTGGACATGTCAAAATCAAGCAAGTACAAAATTTCAAATATCTGGGAACTATTTTAACAAACAAAGGAAAATATGACACTGTAACCCAAAGGTTCTTTTGAAGAGCGAAAGATGCCTTCGAAAAGTTAAGCAAAGTATTAAGAAACAAAAATATTTCGTTACAAAGAAAAACTGAATTGGAGAATCTCGTCACAGATAAAGAAGAAACTTGAAGCAAGAGAAATGTGGTTCTACAGAAAGATACTGAGAGTATCATGGACGGAGCAGGTGAGAAACGAAGAAGGGGAATATATTTTATATTTTGGTCTCTAACAGTCTCCAGTGAACAAGAAAACACTGAGATCTTGACGTTTTTGAAGTACACATACCTTAAATTTGATTTTATTGTTACTAATTATCAATATATATATATATATATATATATATATATATATATATATATATATATGTCACCACGAAATGTATCTTTTTATGCATTAGACATCCGTCGACTTTCTTTCTCTCCTCTTTATATATATATATATATATATATATATGTGTGTGTGTGTGTGTGTGTGTGTGCGTGTGTGTGTGTGGTGTTTCTTCATCGCTACGCTCACTTTATTGATTGAACCGTAGAGCTCTTGATCTTTTTAGCCGTGATGTCGGACTGAGCCACGACAAGTAACTGTTTATGCTCTAGAAACCAACCTCTTGTCCCCGATTCGTGAAAGTAATCACTTTTTAAAAGTCGTTGCACACATTCATGCAGAAACTGTGTTTCGGGTTCAGTATTTTATCTTTTCTATCGAACCAACAAAGTGTGACTTGCTGAAATCGAAATTCTGATGAAAATCGTGAAAAAAAAAAAAAAAATTAAGTTCAAAGAGATATGAGAGAAGTGGAGACGAGAAGGAATTTATGAAAGAATTTGTTCTCGGGGAGACTTGACGTGAAACGGTGTTGAAAAACAGTAGAATATAATAGATTTTCTTTAAAATGAGAAAATAAGCAATTTTTTTTTTAAAATAGGAATACAATTGTAAGTGCACACGAAAAATAGCAATGCAAATATCAAAGAAATTATTTCAAGAGTCGAGCGGGGAAAAAATGAATGAAGTCATAAGGGGAGACAATTTTGTTCCTAAATGAAGGAAAATAGATAATTTCTTTTTCGGGAGAGTGATCTTGAAAAGAACAAGAGAATAATTGGTATTTGCTTGATTGCTTGATAGATAGATAGATAGATAGATAGATAGATAGATAGATAGATAGATAGATAGATAGATAGATATGAACAAACTGAGATAGATAGATAGATAGATAGATAGATAGATAGATAGATAGATAGATAGATAGATAGATAGATAGATAGATAGATAGATATGAACAAACTGAGATAGATAGATAGATAGATAGATAGATAGATAGATAGATAGATAGATATGAACAAACTGAGATAGATAGATAGATAGATAGATAGATAGATAGATAGATATGAACAAACTGAGATAGATAGATAGGTAGATAGATAGATAGATAGATAGATAGATAGATAGATAGATAGATATGAACAAACTGAGATAGATAGATAGATAGATAGATAGATAGATAGATAGATAGATAGATAGATAGATATGAACAAACTGAGATAGATAGATAGATAGATAGATAGATAGATAGATAGATAGATAGATAGATAGATAGATAGATAGATGTAAATGATACTATGACGATTACAACATAAAGAGAAAACTTATAAATAAAAATTGTTCCATACACAGAGGGAAACAGAAAGAGAGAAATTTAGAGAAAAGCATAGAGAGAATGAGAGAAAGAAAAAGAGAGAGTAAAGGAAAGAGAGAGAGAGAGAGAAAGAGAAAGAAAGGAGAAAGAAAGCGATAGAAATAATAAAGGGAGAAGAGAATGTAACCACTGACAATCCATCTCTTCTGATGTTCACTACATTTCTATAGTAAATGTTTATCTATTATCACTTTTTTGTCAGTGACGCTTGCATTAATTCCTGCCCACGAGCAATCCTTTTTTTCGTTATTTTCTATAGTAAATATTTATCTATTATACATATAATACTCTTATGTTGTTAGAAACACTTGCATTAATTCTTAACCACAGACAATCCTTTTCTTCCCGATTTGCAATGCATTTCTTTAGTAAACGTTATTTATTATACAAAAGACTTGCCTATTATATCAGTAACACTTCATCAGAACAACGCCTTACCGATTACTTTACAAGAGCTTATCAGAAGGCATAATTCAAATTTAGTTATACAGTAGTCCACCGCTATAGCGCGAGCCTTGGGGTCAATGATGGCCGACCCACGCTGCAAGTGAATCGCGGGAGCTGTTTAAGATAATAGGAAGTTGAACACCTGATTTTTGGACCCTATTTGTCTTATTTCATGATATATACCGTAGATAATGGCTCGAAAAGAACCACGTAATTTATACTAATTTATGTCAATGATTCCATAAGAAATTTCGGGTAATTTGCTTTTTAAGCCCCGCGCTAAGTATCTAATAAAAATTTCCCGAACAGTTATTTTTCATTCTAAATTTACATGCCTAATTTCTTTGTTATTTTCGAATTAAGCATGTAAATTTACACGTAAATATAACTATTCGGGAAATTTATTCACGGGAATTTCCCTAATTACTACGCGCTATTTATATTTATTTATGAGAGATTCTTGATGTCTTACAGGTGGACAGTCAAATTGAACATGATCAACCAGAGAAAAGTACTCCTATTTATACCCCATCCGTGGTATTTGATTGCAGTCATTGAATTCCTGTTAATTAGTCCGATATTATAGGAACTCTTTGATCGCGCGCGAAATAGAAATATCAAGTTATCATGTGTAATTATTACCAATACAATTGGATTAGGTGTGAAACGGCCGAGGTGTTAAAATTTCGCAAAATTTGGGCTGTTTGATCATCAAAATAAAGGTAAAACATGTGGAAAAAGGGTGTAATTAATAAAACAAATTAGGACCCATCTGATGATCGCTGTTCTGTCTATCGTGAAGAAGATGACTTAGAAATTGGTAAAATAGAGTGGACTTTCTAAAAAGGTGTGCGATATTGGGGTACCGCGGTAAACTGATTCACATAATAGCGACTCGGATTCAGGAATCGAGTGGGGTGGGCCGAGTTCGAATTCCAGTCGAATCCATTACTTTCACTTACGTGCTAATACCCTTGGGTAAAGTATGAACTCTTCCTCTTCCCCCAACCCTATGAGTAAATAGCAGGAAAGAGAGGTAACTTGAATGATAACTGGTTTATAGCAGAAAGAAATGGCAAGCTACTGCGGGAAAAAAACTGCCTCATCTGACTTGTATCGAAAGATACATGATCACCTAAGTGTGTATAATCTATGTCACATAACTGACTGACTGTATATCTATATACTTCGCTGTCCAGTTTATCCACCACCTTATTGTTATTGTTGGTTTACGCCTGGGAGCCATTTATCTGGATAAGGGGGCAACGCTGTTGTTCTTAAAATAAAATTATTTCTTGCTCAAATTTTCAAACGAACTTTTCTTATGAGATTTTATTTTAGTCAAATAATAGATGTTTCTTCTTTTGAAATCAATTTTTAACAGTGAAATTAATGTCAAACAGCCGAGAGATCGGAAGTCTTTTTAAAGAAAATGTGCTTCCTGACACAAATCGAAGCTGTATTCTTTTTTTTATGGATAGACACATTTTGATTAATAATACTTTTGATGTCTAGGCTGGTATGCATTTATATGATTGTCTAAAAAAAGGGCTATCTGCTTAAACAGGTGGACCCACTAAAAGTAATAAGAAATATTGTCGGTTTTAAAAAAATCAGTCAGTTAACATTAATATACATTCATTAACAAAAGTTTAAGACCAAATTGTATTTTTACTATCTCCAAGTTAAAAGCAACAAGAGTAACAAGTAATTTATGAGTGACTGACTCAATTTTACTCACAAATTTCTACACATGTCTATTCATTTCAAGCCGAATATTCTATCAGTCAGTATTTTGTATGACTTCCTTTGCTTTTAGTTACTGTGTGGATGCAGCAGGGCATGCTGGGAATAAAGTTATTATAGTACCTAACCAAGATTTCTTTTGTCCAGACTTCTTTAATAGCTTCTCTCTGTAGTTTGGTACTTGAAAGTTGTTTTTCTTCAACTTTGTTTTTGAATATTTCCCATAAATTTTCAGTTGGATTCAAATCTGTGCTGTTGCATGGCCAGTCAAGTGTTGTCACTTAGATCCTGTGGCATGCCGGGGAGGGAAGAGGAAAAGGCAAGAATTGGAACATGACCATTTGAAATGAAGTGGAATTTTACAAGCATTCACGGAAATTTTGTTTAAATAACACTGATAAAATATAATTCAACTAGTAATAAACCTGCTAGTTTTGAAAATACTTACTATACAGTCATTAACAAAAGGTTACGACCACTTTGTAATTTTACTATCTTCAAGTTAAAACCAATAGAGTAACAAGTAATTTATGATTGACTGACTAAATTTTAGTAACAAGTTTCTCTATTTTACTAACAATATTCTCTATTCATTTAATGACAAATAATCTAACGGACAGTATTATATGTGACTTCTGCTTTTGATCACTGTTTGGATGCACCGTGGCATT